CGTCAGCCTTCCTGCTCCTCTGATGCTGCTTGGCCTGCTGTGTTCATACAACTCTACACCTTGTTATCTCAGATTCTCTAGCATCTGCAGTTCCTGCTATCTCTGCAGACCTGAAATGATAGCTTTGCTTTTCCATCCACAGATGCTGCCTAACCTGCTGAGAGTCTCCGGTATTCTCTGTTTTAATTTTGTTTCATTCATAAGACTGTCTGTTCGCTCCTTCACCACACTGCTGACAATGCTACCACCATAGCTCATCTACTGATGAAATCCTAATTCATCCCTTTGAAACGTCTCCATTGGAATATTCTACAAGAGGGGTTGGGTCCGGGGGGAAAGCTTAATTCTGGGAACTCATCCTGAACAGGAAACAGGAAGTGACTGAGTTGGTGAATTAATTGGCTAAGCGGCCAATCGCTAGCCAATCGGCCGGCAAGGGTATGGGATCATTCCTCTGCAGGAAACTGGGGGAAGCAGTACCTTGGCAGTGATTGCTGGGCTTTGTGGATTATAAATTCATGGACGTGCTGGCAAGTCACAGGGAAGTGAGTAAAAGTGAAATTCACCAGACTCACGTAGGAGCTTTCTGAAGGAATCTCAAGATGATCTCTTCTCTTATTGAAAGGAGCAAAAGCCTCTGAAGGTTTCCTAAGCTTGTATCTTCAGCTTGCCTGGTCAGTGTTATTTCAAATGAAGTGGATGAATGATAGGATGCTGGCCTTTGTGTTTTGTCTTTTCTTTTACATCTTGAGTGCTGACTGAACCATGGAAATAATGCAAGGGAGAACAAATAGATGAATTTAAAGAGACTAAGTGCTTTAAGGGGACACTCTGTACACATGAAGTAAATGATTTTCCCCAACAAATTTAAGTGAAGATTTTGTAGTAAATCAATCCTAATAGAGATTAGCTTGGGGACATCTAACTTCACATTGTCCCTTGGGAGTTAACAGCTAAGTGAGGTCAACTTGCTCACCTTATAACACAGCAGGAAATTACTCCCTGGTGGGCTACAACATTTACAGTGAGGCAACCAAGTTTACATTTGGGCAGCAGCTAGCACTAAGGACTGGTTATTCCATGTAGCTTTCTTTGCTGATCTGTCCTCTGAATAAAGCAAAACCACAACTGACTTTTCTAAGATGTCTGCTCCAACATCAGGATGTCACAACAGAGCACCGACCAGGAATTTCAGTATTAGGCAATTCCCAGGTTCTCCAATACAGTCCTCAAGGCTTTGCTGGATGCAATGAGGGAGAGTGTGGATATCACCTTGTTAGAAGCGAGGAAAAATCCAACCTCAGTGACCACAAGGCCATGATTGCCGTGAACACTACAGGAGACATTTAGCACAAATAGATTAAATGCCACACGCGAATTACTGACCTCCTTGGATCTGGTAAGGTGAATATGATCTCCACCTGATGGGACAGGCTCTCGGGCTTATAGCCTACAACACTCTCAAATTGCTAAGGAGCCAGAAGGCAGATGCTGTTCCTCAACGTTAGAAGGGCTTGTGCCCCAGAACGTGAACTGATCTCTTGGAGAAGCTCCAAGGCATGTTGATTCTGTGGATAGGGAACTACTACAACGTGCTGACTGTGAAGATTTTTAGAAGCTGCCCTCTTCCAGTAAGAGTACATTGCCTCACTGTCTTGTCTTTGTGGGAATTACCTGTGCATGAAACCCACAAAATGGCAGGTCTGGTGGAATTATTCAGTCTGTGAGGATGTCAAAAGAGTCTGCATTGAAAATTCAAAGGGTTCTTGATAGGGAGGTGTTGTAGAGACTGCAAGAGACTAAGAACAGTGCAATTACCTTTGCAAATTTGGAGCCACATAGGAACAGGAGGTTGTCTGGCAGGTCACACAATGCACCAAGCAATGCCCAGTGCATATGTTCATCAACATTCTTCAGTATTAGCCCTATCAAGGACCTCACCTGAGCACTCTGCATCAGAGGCTGTCTATGATTTTGTTCTCCTTTAGTCCTAGGCTGACCACAGGACACTGATGCCCAGAAGATTCATCACACGCCTTACCATTTCTCTGTGTTTCTAAGGTACAAGATACATTTACTGACCACTTCTTGACTGACCTAAACCTACATTTTTTGGACAAAATGTATTATAAACTAATGTGGAAAAAGACGAAATGAAAAATTCACACAGCAGCACTGCTCAGCTCCAAGGGTGTGACAGAGAAGTGAGGAAGGGGTGTAAATACAGACAGTGATTTTATCTAAAAAAATACTAGCTGGGGGGAGCATTTTTCATTAAATAAACTCCTTTCAGTTTTACTCTCCTTTGGTTTGGTCTGTTGTATTGATCAAAATAAACTGAAATACACAGCAGGAGAAACATTATGATAAATCACAACTCTTTGCAACATGTTTAAAGGGTTGCTGTTGCTGTCGCACTTCAAATCATTTATTATAAAGTTAATAAAATATGTGAATAGTTACTAAAATTAAAAACTAAATTACTAAAGTAACTAGCTCTGTATATCAAGTGCATTACTATTTGGCTGACAGTCAATAGACTGCCAATAGCAACACAACACAACAAACACAACACAGTACAAAGAACACAATAATGGGATTAAAGGAAAAGTGTAAGAAGGAGTACATTCAACATGAAGAACTTCTCCCCCAAATTCAGTTTGAAAACACTTCATTTTGTAGTTCTTTTAAATTTTTATTTCCGTTGCCTCCTAATGAGCTGCCATTTTTGATCACACAATCCTATAAGTTTCTTCTAATGTCAGCTATTACGTGTGCCCTTCCATAAGGTGTAGTGCAAATCAATATCTTTAATGTCTGGCCTGTAAGTAAGGTGTAAGTGATTGACACACACTAATACTGAACATTATTACATTTTCTAGTCTGACCAACGCCTGACCATCATTGTTACATTCTGTGAAAAGTTATTGACAGAACTCCAGAGTCTCTGAAGGAGGAAGAGAAAATCAAAATGATAGTCCTGCCTGGCTTACTCTCAAGTAATTTCTAATAGTTTGCACAAATATTCTCACTGTGCTTGTAACCCAGAAAACAGGGGAAAATTTCAAACATTAAGACTATCCCACAAAATAAAAACACTCCAGAAAATAATATCTTCTGTAACATTGGCCTTTCATCTAAGATTAATCAAAGTATATCTAATTGTTGTCCACATGTATGTTAACATTATTCCACTCCATCTCACCACCACTTCTCTTGACCCTCTACGGTCTTGACAGTACTCAAACTACCCATATTTTATGAGTATAAACTTCCTCTAATTAAATATAGGGATGACCAAAGCTATTGGCTTTGGATCTCCACCCAAGATTTGTTTGCTGGTGACTTATTCCATCAATCTGCTTAGCAACTGTCTGAGGCTCAAACAGACCATTTGTTACTCAATTATCATCTTTGACCCAAGCTGAGGTTCTGAATGCATATGTACTCCATCAATGACACCTACTAATCTCACCTCATATCACCACCTGACTTCACTCCTACATCAATACATCTGCTATTGAAACACTCACCCACGTCTTTGTTACATGAAACTCGATTATCTTAGTGCTCTCTTGCACTGTAGAGAAACATTTAATCATTGAAAACCCTATTACAGGTAGTTCTCCTATCATGCGATAGTTGCGTTCTTGTGTGACCTCGCGCTATAGAAAATCGCTTTATAGGGAAATCGCTGTAGAAGATCCCTATACCTGTACAGCATAAAGTTTGCATTATCCAAACAGTGTTGACTATTCATCAATTGTGTTACATCCAAATTGCGTTAAAGAATAGGCATTATAGCAGAACTACCTGTATACTGTTTCAACTTCTCCCTTGCCCTGTTCACCCATCAGGCCCATGCTCACCAAACTACATTGGCTCCTGGTTCGATAACGTCTCAACATTTTCACCCTTTCTTTTAAATCCCATATGGCCATGGCTCTCACTGTCTCTAGAACCCTCTTCCAATCATACAAGCCTTCACAATCTTGCACTCTTCCAATTCTGACACATCTCCAACTTTAATTGCTCTGTCATTCAGCTGCCCTAGGCTCTGGGATTCTATTCCTAAACATCAGCATCTCTCTCTCCTTTCTTAGGATGTTCTGTAAAACCTACTTCTTTTGACAAACTTTTAGTTATGCATTCTGATATCCCCCGCTGTGGCTCAGTGTCAAATTTTGGAATCACTTTTATGAAGTGCCTCGGGACATGTTGCTGCATTAACGGTACAATATAAATGTGTTTTGTTATTTCCAGCTTGCCCTCTCTCTCCACAGTGATGCAATTCTACACGCAGTGATACCCTAGTACTTTACTATCTGGCACCAAGAGCAAGTGACAATTGGCTACAAGATGACAGGAGCACAGCTGACATCCAAGCATTTGCACATCCAGGAGGGATCATTAAATTGTGAGGAAGAAACCAAAAAGATTTTCTCCCAGCCTGGTGCATCGAGGCCAATTGTAATGCCAATTGCTGCACTTGCTACGATTAATAAACTCAGCATAGTCTGACAACTGAAGCTGGAAATTTACTGGTATTTATAGCTGTGCATTGGATAATCTTGTGGAACTGCTGTAATTCATGTAACTTAATTTAGTTAATGAATTGACACCAGAATGGTTAACTTTCTATAGAATTTTTTTTATCAACAATAGATCAGAATTTACTCACTGTTTTGTCAAGAGCTAAGTTTTCTGAGAAACACATCACATCTTCTGCTCTATTTTCCCTGTTGAAAATCACAGATGCCCCTGAAACAAAATCCAAGAAAGAATTAGTGAAGAAATTGAAACGTTTGAGTAACCAATGAGTAAATATTAGGAATGCTGGTTAGTTCTGTCATGCACGGGGAAAAGCACTTTATAAATATAATTTTAGACTACAACTTGAACCCCTGTGAAACTTTAGAGGACTGTTGTAGCTGTACAATGACGTTGGATCCTATAGAGACTATGGACTATGTTGTGGCTGGCTTTGTTCTGTCCTACGCTATGGATTTTGGTCATACTTGTTAGCATTTATCATCATTAGCCTCAACATCTTTCAGTGTGCTTAACAAATTTAAATATAAATGACAGACTTGCTAAAGGCATTTTTTTCTTCAGGATCTCATTTTCAAAATACAATCACAACAGGTCCTGTGCAGCATTAACCCCCACATTTATGAATAGGTTGGTGGGGGGAGATGCTGAATAGAACTAAGGGAAAATTCATATAAAAAGTTTTTAAACATTTAGTGAGAATATGCAGAGAAGGCTCAGAAATATTATTCCCAATATTAAGTGTGAGCTGAGCTAGGACAAAGGAAATCCAACATTCTGCACATGCTTCATCACCGTCTTCCCTCTGGGTTTTCCAGCTATTCAGCAACAGTAGTTTTGCACAATGTAATCTCAACCCCAGCACATAAAGAGACAATCCAAAGATGCAACTTGAAAGAGTTGGCAGATGGAGATGTAGAAGATCAAAACGGAGTCCAGATGCTCAAATCTGTGCCCTGTTTTACTTAAGAAAATCTTTTAATGTGTTGCCAAGGGTGGTGGGGAGGAACAGAGAGATAGCTTTCCCTAGCAACAGGAAAAAGTAGCCTGCAGCTGAGAAAAGGCAGCATGTTGGAGCTTACAGAGGAGGTCAGTCACAGGAGTGCTGAGATTCATCTTCCACTGTAACTTTGTGGATAGTTCATGGAAAAAGTGAAGAAAGGCTCAGATGGTGCTTTACACATTTCTCTAGGCTTTCCAGCAATCTTTCACTGAAGTTCCAGCCAGAAATTTTGTGCGCCCTGCACAAATTCCTGGTAATTAATTCTGGAAATGATCTAGCTACATGCTTCAGGAATTTACTTGTGAGAAGTTAGAGAGCAGTGGTTCAACATCTGGCATTTCACATTATTTTACCCATTGCTTGGGTGTAGCACTCAATCATGGTGTCATTTCAATGAATGTTACAGCAAACTGTATAAGTCAGCAGCATATGATTGGGGGGTTGACTCAGAAGGGTACTTTTGCAGGGTTCTGCCATGGTCACTGCCGTGGGAGATTGGAGAAACCCTATAGAAAAGGTGTAACTAACGCTTTCCAGCTGTTTATATTGTTTCTGTTGGAGTTCTACTGATGGTTTACTGACATTTTAGTGACCAATTGGGTAGACACTGTGGATATTCCAAAAGTACATGTTTACCTTTGTTGGATGCTGATTTATTGGTTGCTGATTTCAAAGTATTCTTCTCAGGTGTAGAAACAGAACATTTTCCAACATCCAGTGAGGTGGTCATCTTCGGACTGGTAAGACAACTTGATGGTCTTGAGCTTGTGCAGTTCTGCAGCAGCAAAATGGCAGGGTATCAAAACAGAAACAGAAGTTGCTGGAAAAGCTCAACCAGTCAGAGTATCAAAACAGATGGATAAATTGGGCTTTCCACCTTTTGCCAGCTCCCAAAACTGGAAGAGATGCGAGATGAAGTTGGATTATGTCTTGAGTCCTGATATTTGCTTATGGCTTATGGAAACTTACTAATAATTACACCATGGCACGCAGAAATAGGTGGGGAAAAAATAGTGCTTTAATATTTAAAATCATAAAGTTAAACATTTTTGAATAGTCTTATAAAAAATAGCACTGCTTTAAACAGAATTTAGGAAGGATCTTTCCTATAGCTGAGTATGACTGCTTGGAATACTTTGTCTGAATTTTATGGTCAAAAACAATGTCCTGAAAATTCCTTTTTAGCAGATGGCAATTGGTCACCACTGTTAGTAAATTTACCTGCTGCTCCACATTTCTTTTACCCCCACTGTACGTCAGTGTCTCCCAGTTTTAAAGTTATTGCTGCACCAGAGGTGAAAGTGGGATCTTAAAAATGTTCAGAAAATTAATATAGTTTAATCTAAAAATAGTAGTATTGATTGTACTTATTTTACACTTCAAAACGTAGTGGTCCCTCTACTCTGAAAAGAATCAACCTTTCCCTTAATTAGAATAAAATGCCACACCATGTATGATAAATACAACGATTTTTCAGTTCAACAGCTATATTGCTTTTTTCAATTGATACATGTTTACTGCTAGTAAACACCATTTGATATTTTATAAGCATAGACACAGATGCTGGAGGATAATAGTGCATAGCTGTGAAATAGGAGTATAAAGAATGACGAGAATGAACCCAGCAGTAACATGCTATAGTGATTTATTAACTCTACATGCTGACTCAAAATAAAGAATTGTTTTCAAAACATGAACAAAAACGAAGTCTGACGTTGTGAGCATGCAATATATGTAACTTTATTACTGATCAACCGACTACATCAGATTGTGTATTTTTTAAAAAGATCGCCCAACTGCCCAGGAATTGACCCTTTGTATTTAAAAATTGTAAATGCCTGCTATTTATTAAAAAGAAACAGGGAAATAATCGACTTGTTAGTCTAGCATCTGTTGTGGGGAAGTTATTGGAATTGGAATTAAAGGTAGATTGACTGACCACTTAAGAGAAATTTAAGCTGATTAGAGAGAACCAACATGGTTTTGTAAAGGGCAGGTCATGTCAAACAAACCTATTTAATATTAAGCTAAAATAGGTCTAAGATTATTCATTTTTATTGACACAGGCATGTTGGATTAGAATTTGCTCTAATCTCATATGATTAAGGTTTTTGCTTTATAGAACAAATAGCTCATTTATTTGGATAGTAGCTAGAAATAATGAAATGTGTTGAGTTATTCATTCTCAGCAACATAAATTTAGATTTAGGGTTTAGTGTTTGAGGGTACAATTTAGCTGGTTAACTTCTACTGAAAGCACCTGATGTATAACACATGCCTGTTGACGCAGCCAGTTTGTGAAGTGATGTAGCCGAGTGAGTTTTAAGGAAAGGAGAAGGGACTTTGAGCTCAGGATGATTAGTTATATACTAGATGGCAAACAAATTGGCCAGAATACAGAGGAGGCGCCTACTCTCCAGTTATTTTTCAGCATCCAGAATGGGGGTAGGGAAATCTCTAGGTTAGCCCGAGGCTATTTTCACAAGCAGGTGGGCAAAGACATCCTCTAGGCTACCTGGAGTGCTGGCTGCTGGTCAACTGACATTTCCCAGTCCTACGCATCTAAACTGGACCCTGGCAATAGAAAGAAACTGGAGACAAGCCAGAAAATCTGACTGGCCTCCTTTAATTGGACTTCATAAGCACTGATTGAACCCTACTGGCTGGCCATGATAGATGTCCCTACTAGCCTTAATCTAGCTTTCACAAAAATAAAAGATGGGTGAATGGAGCTGGGAACTAGCACTTTGATCAGTATGGGACAAATTTTAACCTGTCTGCTCCTCATTCCTCAACAAATGCAAGAAATCATGTTCTCTGTCTCTACTCAAGAGGAAAATCAGGGTGATTGCATTTACTTCTTTGTATGTCTATAGCTTAGAGACATTGCCTGTATCAAACACTTGGGCAATGGCAAAAAATAATTACGTTATTAAACATATGGCTGTTGGATTCAAAATAAATTACATGGCAGACAAGGGACATATTCATGGGTGTAGTTTAAAAGAATTTCCAAAAGGAATTAAATAATGTTTCATGAAAGAGACTACTAGCTATAACTAAAGTTAGTACAATTGAAGATAAATTATTGACCTGGTTAGGAGACTGATTCAGTATTGGCAGACAGAGTTGGGATAATGACTTGTCCTCAAATTCAGAGAAACTGGCTACTGGTGTCCCATAAGGGTCTGTTTCACTACATTAATTAATAACTTAGTTAACACGATACAGAACCATACAATCAGGTTTGCCAATGACACAAAAACTGGTGATACAGTAAACACGGTAGATGGCAACGCAGCATTATAAGGAGATGATAATACATTATTTGAAGGTAAAACTGTGGCATAATAGATCTCATCCATTTTGAGCAATTCTGAGTATTTTTCAAAGATTTAATGCCAGGAAATGTGGAAATTCAAAGAATACTAGGGGTACATTTCCATTGATATCAAAAATGTAGTACAGAAATAATCAAGAAGACTAATTGAATGGAATAAAATTACAACTCAAAAGCAAATGCTGTAAATGTTGGAGAACTCAAATGAGAACAAAAAAAGTCCTGAAGGAACTCAAACAGATCCAAGAAACTGTAGAGGGAGAAACAGGTTAACATTTCATTTCCAATATGACTCTCCTTCAGAACTGAATTCACTTCACCAGCCTATCTCAATATTCTTTGAATCCCTTAGAGTTCAAAAATCTATTTATCTCAATGTTGCATATATTCAATGACTGAGTGTCGCCTGGGGTAATGAATTTCAAATCTTCACAACTCTGAGTGATAAAGCTTTTCCTCAACTTATTGGTTCACCCCTTTTCTTGAGCTGATAGTTATAAACTCCTTAGCTAGGGAGACGGCTTCATAGCAATTATATTAACAAGATCTCATAAGAATGTCATATGTTTCAATAAGATCATCTCTTATTCTTCTAAACTCCAAATAATAAAGGCCTATTCCATTAATAGGAGAACTCTCACTTCAGCAATCAATCTCATGATCCACACTCCATACCCTCTAAGGCAAGTATATCCTTCCTCGTGAAAGGAGATCAAAATTGTATACTGGACTCTAGGTGGGATTGCTAAATACTCCTGTAAAATTTCACAAAAAATTGCTTTTTTGACATTCCAACACACAAAATAAATGTTAGCATATTATTTGTGCTCATACTTTTTGCATCTCTATGTTAATTTTCTGTTTGTACAAGGTTGGACAAGAGTGGATAATCCATCTCTGCCACCTCCAGAAGTCCCCAGCCTCACAGATGCCAGCCTTAAATCAAATCAATTCAATCCATGTGATATCACAAAATGGCTGAAAGCACTGGATACTGCTAAGTATACATGTCCTGATAACATTCCAGAAATAGCACTAAAGACCTGTGCTCTAGAACTAATACACTCAGTACACTATCAATACTGGCAACTATCTGGCAGTGTGGAAAATGCCCAAAACAGAACAAAACAAGTCTAGCCTGGCCAAATCAGTTTTACTTTGATCATTGGCAAAATGATGGCAGTACTATCAAGTGGCACTTGCTTAACAATAACGTGTACTGATGGTCAGTTTGGGTTCTGTCAGGCTCACGCAGCTCCAGATCTCATTACAGCTTTGACTCAAACATGAAAAAGGAGCTGAATTCAAGAAGTTAAGTGAAGATGACTGCCTCTTCACACCACGGCAGCATTTCACTCAGTGAGAAGTTGAGGAGCCCTAGAATAACCAAAGTCAATGTGGATCAGCTGGTTGGAGTCAAACCTAGCGAAGAATTCTATATAGATGTTCTGGACAATCAAACTTATTCATGCAACAGATTCTCCCTGGGAGCTCCAAACAAGCCTAGTTACTCTAAATAGTAGAACAGCAGATAGGAGCTGAAGTTTTGGCCACAAGCAAGTTTGGAATCAGAGACAAATCAGATCTAAAAATACCAATGCCATCTGGCATGCCAGGATCCTGACACATTTACACTGGTCATTTTGAGAAAAGTGGTTTTGAGCACCGGGTTGTTAAAGGCCTTGTTATAACACTTATTGTGGGTCACATGGAAAATCACAGTCAGCCTCTAGTTTCCCAAAGGGACAGGGGATGATCCTGGGAGAGATGGATACCCGGTGTTCTATGGGCCCTCCTTAGCCACCTGTCTGAAGGTGCAGTCACAGGCCACCCAGTAAATTTTGACGGATCTGAATATTTTTCAGCAAAGCCAGTTAAAAAGCGCGAGCATAAAAATACAATTAAAATTATTCATTTTACATCAGAATCAACTGCCTAATTTGGTAGTTAAACAAGGAAAGTAAAATTTATAAACACAAAGAATCTTAATTCTGACCATTTTAATGCACCTAAAAGAGGAAATATCACATTCTGTTCTAAGTCACAAGCTATGCTCCCAAATGAGTTACACAGGCAATATTATAAAAAGACATTTGACACACAATCCTAAACAATTGCATTAAAGGTAATTTGCACGAGCTTCCCTAGGATTTTACAGCTTCTGAACTTCTTTCAAACAGAATAATTTTTGTACAAATTGTACTCACTGTGAAAGACAAAGTTTTTTTCTTTTCTTTCATTCTTTTAATGGCATTTCTCACCTACAGAAAATAAATCAGTCTCGTCATATTTATGTAAGGTATTTGATTATATCTATATCAAAAATTTGCTTCTATTTTTCTGCAATTGGAGTTGATTATGTTTGCTTTTCAGAATACATAATTTAAGAAAATAAATACAATGATTACAGGAAAGCCACAACACTGTAGACAATAGCAGATCGCAGGTTACAATACAAGAAGGAAACAGGAAATCATTTCATTTATGCAAATAATATGACCTAAATACTCAAAAGTTAGGCATTCATAATATCACAAAGTCTAACAATGCTACGCAGAGACTTTTTAACATTGTGCCATATTGTTAATTCCTCCTTCTTTGACAGCTGACCAAATTTCACAAAGCAACATACAAGCTTTCATTTTATGTTTGAACAAAAACATGAGATTTGAGAAGGAGGAACATGGTCACATTCCTGGTCCCACAGGTGCCACATTTGCAGCATCACTACTATTGTAGGTGAATCCTGACCTTATTTATGCCTGCAACTAGGAATTTGCCTTTTCGAGGGCAGGGTAGGAGGAGAGATAGGGAGGTGGTGGCAGGAAACTGTGTGCCAATGTTTAATATTAAACGCCTGCAGCACCTTAAAAAACAGTGGAAATGGGACAAAGAATGTTAAAAAAAGAGAAGCTTCAAGGCTTTGTGCCTGAACATACATAGCATTTGAGATAAGGTGGATCAATTAATCGTGTAATTAGATATAAACAGGTACGATATTGTTAGGATTCTGGAGACAGGATGACCAGGGATGGGAATGGAACATCCTGGGGTATTCAGTATTTATGAAGGACAGATGTAAAGGAAAAGGCAGTGGAGTTGCATTACTGTTTTAAAGAGGATGAATACACAATGTGGAGGCAAGATATTAGTTCAGTGAGAAAATATTCCTTCTAAGACCCATCCCATCTTCCTCAAAGTCTCACAGAAACTCTAACTGTCATTATGCCAGGTCATCAAATTCATATGCATTTCTACAAATTATAAAATGATAAAAATCACATTATAGTGGTCGGGTATTGATGCCTTCAAATTGATGTACACTTTAAATTATCACTTGAATTAAAACACTCATTACCAATACATTCAACTCCAGGAATTTACATGCTCCAGCTTATTTGTCAATATTTCAAATTATAGGAGACTTATTCAATTACAGCAAGCGTTTTATTAATTGACACCTGTGGGACCAGGATTGTGTCAATTGATCAAATACTTCAGATATCAACAGGTCCACATAATCGATGTAAAAACACATACCAAGTAATAAGATGTAATGCAGGGGCTACAGAAATCACTGTTATGCTTTATTTACAGTTTAAGTCACTTTAATAATAATGCAACTTTGCCTTAAACAAAACTTAGCAGCAGAGAGCCTTCGCACTCACTCCCTCAGCTGACTATCAAACCTCATGGCAGCTCACGGTATTGGAGGAGAAATTTACTTGAAATTGAATCAACTGTTGATATTTCATGTGTCCGTTCAATTGAATAATAAATACATTTACACGGGGGTAAGTAAATTAAAAACTATAATAATTGGACAGTATAATACAATAAACTTCATGGTCTGTGAGGTATATAATTTTAACTCGTTTATCAAGAGTACCGGTTCATAAGATGTCAGTTAAAAAAAAGTTTGCTGTCTATAGAAAATAGATCAACATAGAAATGAATTCTTCATACCTCACTGTTGTAAACGCCATACACCAAGAATATATATAGCCCCTAAAACAAATAAAAAATAAACATTTACTTAGACATGAATCATACTCTTCTCTTACTGATGCTTACTTGCTTTAACAAAAAGTGGTGTCATTGGACTATTTAACAAAAGATAGTTAAATCTGCTGTTGTTTCAATTGTTCACTGATGCAGGCCCTCCTTTGTAGAATAGCATGCGTTGTGGAAGAATTCAGAGATTGGTTAATAGGCTGACAGGGTTTAATATGATTGTTTGTTTCATGACCATAAACATCTTTATATCAACAGACATCGTGGGGTTTCCACAAGCTACTGCAGTTAGAGGATTGTATACAGTCTCCATACTATGAAAAAGACATAGAAACACTGCAGAAAGTGCAAGAAAGATTTATAAAGTTGGTACCAGAGCAGAAAGATGCAGCTATCAAGCAGGATTGAACAGGTTGAAGCTTTGTATTTAGGAAAGAGAAGACCTAGAGGTGTCCTGATAGATGGGTTTGAAATTACAAATAGATTTGACAGGATGGATATGGAGAGACTGTTTCCACTTGCACTAGAATTCAACAGGGCCATAAATAAACGTTTGTTCCAAATAATTCCAGTTGGAAAGTAAGAAGAAATGCATTTACTGGGATTAGAATGCATAGCTTACTACCAGAGAAAGTGGTGAGGAAAATAACTCAGATGTTTTCAAAAGGAAATTAGAGGAGTAAGACAGAAAAAACAGAATAGAAAGAAGACCTGAAAAGCTGAGATCAGAAAGATGGAATGAAATGAGACTCATGTGAGAATAAAGACCAGCACAGAATAATTGGAACGTTTCTCTGTGACAGATCCACTGGAATTTAGGAGAATGAGGAAGGATCTCATAGCAACCTGCAAATTCAAACAGAACGAGGCAGGTTAGCTGCATGAAAGATGTTCCTGATGTGGGGGATTCCAGAACTAGGGGTCATCATTTAAGGAGACAAGTGGTTAAACGCATAACATTACATGTTTCCAAGAAGAAGGCAGCTATAGTTCTTGTGGCTAAAGGGATCCCGGGATAAGGGGGAGATTGAGATTAGGGTATTGATCTCAATAATCAGCCATGAGCATATTGAATAGCAGAGCAGGCTTGAGGGGTTGAGTGGCTTACTTCTGCTCCTTTCTTCTTTGTTTCCATTCCATATAATTCTATGTTAACGTGATAACGAGAGGTGGGGATGATGAGACGGCGGTGGTGCATAGGTCTCCCTGCTGCATGTCAATCCAGAAGTGAGATTTCCAGACTTCACTCACAAGAACTGTCTGTAGCAGGGATTAAACCCTGCACATTCTGCCTCAGATTCAAGAAACTTACCATTAAGCCTAACCCTCTCTATGAGGTCAAGAGGACTGGTCAAAAGTATCAAAAGCACTTTTCAACAACAATTGTCAAAGGAAGTTACAAAGCTGTCAAAGCATTTAAATGTCCTGCCCTTTAAATCTTTGAGAAACATGTCTGTATTATTAAGCTAAATCATTGCATGCTATTTCATACTGTTAACATAAGCTAGAATGTTTCTGTAACTGTATTAGTGCTGACTGACTGATTTTACAATGATCAATTATCACAGGAGGGTGCCTGCCATTTAACAGTTTGATTGACAGGTCCAAATGCTTATGGACCCTTTGAGTGGGTATATGAATTCCAATGTTTGTTGTTATAAGTCATTGTGTAGTTCTATTGTTTGCATTTCTTTCATGACATAAATCCACAGTTTTAACTTAAAGTTCTATAACATAGGTAAGTCTCATATCTACCACTTTCAAAGTTAGATATCAGGGGTTACTCTTTACAATTATAATGTTCAGACCAAAGAGATTAACATTGCAAAAAAGAAACTACAGTTCAAAGTTCTAATCATTAATTTGCCAGTTATTTTTTATATTTCATTTTGACTGGATCACTAAATACATTGTAGTACAAGGATTGCTGTTTATAGAGAACCTGATCAAAGCAAATAGCTGATCTAAACATAGCATTTCTTGACAAGCTAGTTGCTGTGTTTATCAGGATTTAATTGTACCTTACTTCCTTTTTCAAACAGGAATTTGGGATGAATAGGGTTGTAAAATTCTTTAGGGTCATTTTCAATATCCAGTGCATCATAGACCATCAGATATGCTTTGATGGGCCAGCCCTGGTCATGACTATACCCCTTCCGTCTTGAGATGGAAGCCTCACTCCCACACAACATTCCATCCTGCAGTTCAGCTGCAATTAGCTAAACCTACCCAAGGAAGGTAAAATTGACGGATATGACTGTAATTAAAACTTTTAATGCATTAATCTGTAGCCCATCATTCTACACTAGAGCTAACAGACTCTGCAAATGTTCTTTTACGAAAAAGATAACATTTGAACTTTTATTTACATACAGATCATTATATTTTGATTAATTACATTATATCTTAATGAGATGAATAGTTGAAATAGTTACTCCGAGAGTTCATCTAACAGTTATGCCATAATGCAAAGATAGAAAGAAAGTACGAATTATGTCACAAATATGAAGTTTCTGCAACTATTATGTTTTAAATTGTCTTTATAATTTAAGGCCAAACAGAACATCGCAGAAAGAGATTTAGCAGGAGGTTGTATAACTTGGCCCATTAACAAACCAAATAGCTATGAGGGGGCAGATTGGGACTTGTGGAGCGAGGTGCAAGGTTCTCATTCCTGAAACAAAGGCTTAAGCAGCAGGACAGGCTTTCTGTCTCTGAGATTTTGTACTGAAATAGAGAGAAGGAAGGCTCTCACAGAGAGACAATAGACTAGTTAGTGTGTGGTCAGAAGAGAGGACGGTGCGTCCTTCCTGTGAGCAACCAGTCAGAATCAGGAAGGAACATGGTCTCAAGTTAAAAGTAATTATTCCCAGTACAATCTAAGAAATCCTGAACTAAATTGGGTACAACTCAAAGTAGTCCCCAACATTAACCCTTTCAGAACCACTGCTAACGCAACATCTTTCACAACTACAATACATTCCAAAGCACGACAAAGCCAATGAAGTAATTTGAAGTGTAGTTGCTTTTATAATGTAGGAAATACAGGGCTGAATTTTTCCCATTCACAGTTAAAGTGTAGCAGCAAGAGAGTTTTGTAGCATCTGGTCCACCACAGCCTGGGCCAGATTTTCTCACATAATGTTTTGCTTTTTACCTGATTAATTATGCAACTAAGCTGTTGCCACATTTGTCAGGGAATCAGATAGTGGCATGGTGTTCAAAACCCAGCTGTACACCACTCCACATACTGCAGGCCAGGGACTACCCCTCAAACTGGGACTCTGTGACTCAACTCTAAACAGAGGAAAAGAAAGCTAGCCTCCCACTTCCAAGGCAGGGGGCTGGAGGTGCTGGTGGATGGTGTGATGGAAAGGAGGGCAAATAAGGCCACACCACCAGACCCAGCCAGCCTGATCAGAAATTGCAGCTGAGCTTATGGCTGTGACTAACATCAAGCAAAGGTGCCCTGCAACGCATCAATGATCTTCTGTATCCTGCACGTTACCATCATCACCATCGTCTCTCTGCTACCTCACATTCACATATCATTCATACTAATGATTCCACTGCACATATCTCTCACCAAGGCTTGTGGGCTACAATTCCCACTATTGCATGCATCATGTCCACTCAATGGCTCTCATTCATCTCATTTTCTCAAACTTCTAACCCTTCCTGTCCTCACCACTCACCACTCACATTTCACCACTCTCTTGCTCATACATGATCACTACCTGCTATTTTATCCACTGACATTATACCCAACTTACCCATTTGTCTCGCTGCAAGAGAAATTAGCCCACAGCTAGACCAATTGGGCCAAGGCTTTGTGTGCATGTGTGTGAGTATGTGCCAATGTGTCTGTGTGTGTGTGCGCGCGTGTGCATGTGTGTGTGTGTGCATGCACACATGTGCCTCTGTGCACGTGTGCATGTGCATGTGTGCACGTGCGTGTGTGTATATGTGTGTGTTACATTTGGCCAGAGAACAGGACGACTGCTTATATGGAGACAGAGAAACTGATAGTTGACAACTATGTTTCTTGTGCTGTGCTACTTGCTGATTTGCATCAGCAATAACTCATTCTTAATCTTCACAAGCTTAATATGCATCTTATACAATTAGGTCCCTCTCTTCTATCATGCAGTCACTAGTGGCACCCAGCAAATGTTGGCACAGATGCCAGAGCCATAGACCCTCAGCTGCATGTCCACCTCTACATTTGAGGAGGAAGCCAGGAACCCTCAAAGTAAAGCTTTCCCCTGCACCTTCCCTGAGCTCAGATAGTTTCACCTCAGTGAAACCCTATCCAGATTAGTCTCGGGAGCACAGTCTGGTGAGCACTTCACTGATTGAAGAAGAACCCAGGTCTCTGAAGCTCAGAGGCTTGTATCAGTTCAGAAACTGTCACCATTGTGGGTATTATTTCTAGATCAGACTCAGGAGAACATCACTGGCTGGGGAAGAAATACCCCAGGTCTCTGCACCCAGAGGCCCACTGGAGACCAGGCACCTCCTCAGCCCCAGGCAGGAGACAATCCCCCCATGGTCTTGACCATTAACCACTTCGTGAAAACGCAGAGACAGGAGCAATGATCAGGTTTATCAGAAGTAGGCGGTAAACTGGATCGAGGATGGAGGAGTCCATCAAAGTCATTAGCGCCACATAGGGCCCAGTGGGCAAGCATCTATTTGTCTCCATGGAGATGTTGGTGACCAGAATGGAGAGCCCAGTTCAGCACATCTCCCTACCCTGCTGGATAGGTGCAGCTGTGAATTTAATTTTGCAGAGTAACTCGGAAGACTCTTCTTTGGTAAGTTTCGAGTCTTTGGACTCAAAACTCTAATTCTGTTTGTCTCCCCACAGATGCTGCCACCACCAGATTGACTTTGCAGGACAGCCCTGACTGAATGTAGCCCTGCCCCCAGACTGATATCTAAACAGCAACCTGACTGACTCATTTTTAATCCCCAGATGGTTGCACTTGACC